CTGTTTCACATGAGTCAATGGCGAAACCCCTGAGAGATGCGTCCGTTATGATTGTGGCAGGTTCCATAGAGTACGAAAGGGTACAAGGACGTTTGTCTACCCTCGAACCTATTTTGAACCAGGAGGGAGAGTTCCTTTCAAAGCAGGTAATTAGATACCAATCGAGCTTTTTCAGTGATATACACAACCTTGGTCCGTAATTTTTGCACGATCAGGTGGAACGAATACTGTCGCGGCGTCCTTCAATATTACTGGTAGAAGGCGGTGTGTCAAGACTGGCAGCAGATTTGTTACGTGATGCTGGTGTACGACTTGTAGTGAATGTGAGCCAGCGGTAAGTTTTGGTCTAACTATTGATTTAAAGGTAGTGGGCACGATTCCGGAGGGCGGTCGGATACCACCAATGTCATTGGTGGAAGGGCTGGATGGGGTGTGGCCAGATGACATTCGTAGCTCTTTCACTAATGACGTCAGCAGTATCCGCCCGCCCAGCTCGTGCCCACTGCCTTTCAGAGGCCTAATTTACTGGAGTTAATTGTGCAGCGGATCAGCGTAGATGCTGCAGGATCAAGTAGCGTCCCTTACCACATGAGCGGTCAACTGAGCAGGTCCCAGGTCGGTTCTCGCTCTTCCCACCAGAGCCTTCCATCTCTTCTTCTGTAAATTTCTGTAATTCAGTGAAAGTGAATTAGTGAGTGGAGGAGTAAAAACTCGGCCTGTCCTCAGTTGGCTCACAAGTAATTGCGCAATAAATTGTGTTCATAGTGCGTCAACGGGAGCGGGATACTTGGCGCATTCTGAAATTTTTGATGGACGCTGAACACTTCTTGATCCTCGAATATCCAAGTTATTCCAGTGTGCTGCAACGAGTGGCACGCTCAACAGGAGCGGACATACTTCCCAGCTCTGACGCCCAGCTTATTCAACAAAATATTGGATTCTGTCCATATTTTGTTCAACAAACAGTCACTTTCAAAGATGGGCGCAATAAACACCTTCTGGTAGGCGATTGACTGTCATATATTCCAACCCTTGTTGTACTAGTTCTTAGATAATATTGACCCAAGTGTTCACCTTCAGGTCCTTAACGAATGCCCTCCTGATCGAGGGTGTAGCGTGCTGCTGAAAGGTGCTGATTTACGGGAACTGAAGGCTGTTAAGGCAAGTGACTTTTTTTCGCTTTCTTCATTACCGCCCACCTTTTTGTATTTGCTGATCGATATCGAGAAAGGGAATGCTTTTAGCGCATATTGCTATTTCTGATTTCAACCCTCTATTCATCTCGACTAGAAATCGCATTTTTAAACATGTTCAATATACGGATGGTGTATCAGACGTCCAACTGTGATGTCTGCGAAGCTCGAAGAGAAGCCATTGATCAGAATACGGAAAAGGTAATTGCTCTTGTTGTGAATGCTTGAAGCCTTTGAATTTATTGTGGAAAGTGCCCTTAACTCCTATCCCGAGAGTGTTGACAGAGTCATGGTCAAAAGTCAGACCCCATGCTGGACTTGAACCCGCACCTTACTCTTAGCAAGGCAAAGCTGTCCGTTACGTCATCACGAAGGCCACGTTACTTGTTACTTGTTAAATGTGTAGTTGTTGTAAATCTACGGCATAAAAGTCTTCAAGCTGGAGTCAGGCCGCGAACTTGTTCCTCATGCTTAGTGTGCTCAGTTTTGCACTAAAAACGCCACTTTTCTACTTCTCACGGTCGGCTTTATGGCCTTAATGTTGCAGCTTATTGGCACTTACCCTTGGAAGATGATGAGCGGGTAGCCATTATCGGCAGTGAACTGTGGAGCACATTAGTTTAGTGAGCGCGAGGTCCAAGTTCGAGTTCTGACTGAGATCAAGTTTTGTGCTAGTAACCCAATACTTCTGTATGGCCAAGCTCGGTTTAGAGTGACGGTCAAGTGCGAAACAGAATCCACGCGAAGAAATAACAGCAACTGTAAATGAGTGGTTCCACACCAGTAGGTACACTCCACATCGGAGATGGTGTAGGCGTGGCTTTCTGCCTCACTAGAGCGCGCCAACGGTTGCTCTTCTGATAGTATCTTGCCGTTCTGGCTTCAGCAAAAGCAAAACTGGAAGACAAGCGCAT